TGAAGCAGAGAAGTGGAGTGGATCATTTTAAAATCAGCTGGAGAACATGGCTGTGAACGTGTCGCCCACCCACCCACCAGTGAGAGGCTTTAAAAAGGAGTGTTGAGTGAGGGTGAGATGAAACATGCGCAGCAACACTCAGGTTCAGCTCTCGAATATTTTTTTTACCCAGCAGTATCACAGTATTTGTAATCACACAGCATATTACCACTTTTCTGGTTCATAACCCTGGTTTTAGGATCAATCCTGGTTTTAGGATCAATCCTGGTCGTGTCAGTTTACAGCATGTGTCATCGTTTGTAAGATGAAGCACAACATTTCTAAAATGTATTTTGCTTCAATTTGTGGTAAAGGTTAAAACAGTCTAGGGAGGGTTGATAACAGTGTGTGTGGGGGGGGGGTTCATAAAGGGTAAATCTTACCTCTACTTCACGATTTTTCCCATTTCGCAGTGGGTCTTGGAACGCAACTACCACGATAGGAGAGGAATCACTGTATGTTTAATGTATTGTTTTTTTACCCTGACATTCAACTCTTTTGTATGTTATACTGACTGGTCAGTTTGATGCTGCTGTACACTGTTGATGCTTGATGCTGCTGTCCACTGTACGTTTCGAAAAGCATTTATTCACAGTGACTGACACCAGCGCCGCACAGGAGCCGCAGTCCTCTGATTTAACACCGGATCCTTTAAACACTGAATCCAGATAAATAATAATACTGGACAACTGTTCATTTTAAATGTATCACAGTATGACCAATATAAAAAATGCCTTGAATTCTACTCCGTCTCTCTCTCACACAGACACACACACACACGTGACCCCTGTACATCACAGTACAATTGTTGTATCTGCACAATTTTATGTGGACTCAGCTCAACACTAAGCTTAGTTGTACAGTGTTGTTCCCATCATCTACCAGTGCTGACACCACTGCATCTATGAATCTTCTCTGGGATCAGGTCCTGGTCAACAAGTCAATCCAGCCACCACCTAGTTAACCTATACTCTTGAACTCAGCTCTCTCAGTTACCAACACTACTCACATCTAAACTCTGTGACCCCTGTGTGAGCTCATCAACTCCTTATGCAGTACCGCAGCAATAGAGATAGACGGGTGAAGACCTAAAAGTCCAGAACCAATAGAAGAGTACGGAAGAATCAAAAAAACGTTTTGTTTTTCTCCTAAAAGTAAATTAATTAGGCTCAACAATAAATTATTCTAATGTGAAAAAAAAACTTAATAGAAAAATAGAAAATTGTAACCTGTAGTTTAAATAATACAGTAGGGGTGTCAGACAATATCAACAGTTTTCCTACAATTAAATCTTTTTTTTTAACTCAATATATCATCATGCCTATAGTATTGTATCATATCGTGAGATTCTTGTATGTAAAAGATTTGACGGTAGTTCACAACTGACAACGCAGCGTGTTAATAAAAATATAACTCTATAAAAACACAGACATTTTAAGAACGCTGGTAATGTAGACCGAGGGCAGTGTGATTCAAGCACACATGATGGGGATATGGAAATGGGAACCAGTTCTGTGTTTGCTCAATCACACACACACAAACAGTCACTTAATTACATCTGCAGGCCTGTACCTTACAGGTACACACTGCTGTGTGTGCTGTGGTTATGCACAGTCACTTCTGGGAAAATGACTGGTCCCTCCTACATTACTACTGCTCCAGGATCAGTTTACATGTGTGTACTAATGCATGAGGCTGGTCAGGGAGCACACAGGGCAGTGCAGGAGTTTGATCTTCGTGGTCATTGGACGGACAGACAGTTATGTCTGTGTTTGACCAACACACCAACCTTATGTGTCCTGCTGTACCTCCAGGACATTGTGTAATGTTTGCTGATGACATCATATTTGCAAACTAAAACTGTATATATTTGCAAAACTAAACTGTAATTTAGCCTCAAAATCTAATAACAAAAATGAGATTGTTATCTATGACAGACATGAAGATAAAACGTGATCTCCAGAAGACAGCGGAGACACCAGTTTTGAACACAGGGTTCATGGAGATAACTGGTGTCTCAGCTCATAACAAATCAGCAAGAGAGGAATCCTGTGGAGGAAAACACCAACAGATGTGGATCACACAGCACACACACACACACACACACACACCAGGGTCTTCAGTCTACCTGCTCAGAGCCATGACACTTGTTGCACACTTGATGAGATGGATGACAGCAGATCTGTGTGTGTCTGCAGCAGAGCTACTTACACAGAAGCAGAGGTCATCCACTGACAGATGAGGTAGATCAGAAGGAGGGATGCACGCTCCTCTCTCTGTGTCTCTGTCTGATCTTGGCTGGTACCTCCTCCTCCTCCTCCTCTTCTTCTTCTTCTCCTCACACACACATACACACACGTTAATCCACAGACAGATCGTGCACAGTGAGAAGCAGACAGCTGTGCAAAGAGATGAGGAAAATGGAGAAGAGTCCACCTTCTGACAGCTCACGCTCCTCGTGTCCTCCTGCAGCTCTGTGAGCCTCCTCACTGACCAGAGAGACAAGTGAAGGAGAAGAAGAACAGCTCAGGAGAGGAGAGACTGTTGATCTGAAGGCTTTTATAATCAGTCACTGGCCCCGCCCCCTCACCGTCGCTCACTTCGGTCCGCCCATGTTGTTATAGCAACAGCCAATCACTATTCAGTAAAGTACAGGCCTCTTCCTCATCTTCAGGACTTCTCCACCTCCAGCTGCTTTGTACACACACACTAAAACATTTGTAGAAAGTAAATATTTTATGAACGTGTGTGTGTGTGTAGTTATGGAGTGTCATGGTCAGTTCAAAAATCAGTGTTTATTTATCCTTATAAATCCAGGAGATTCAATTGAGATAAACATTTTAATGCATTACAGGAGTGCAGAATTAACACAAGGGAACGTGACGGTCCCCGCCTCAGAACCACATACCAACCTGTGTCACTCTAGCACTTACAAACAGCACATTAATGCCAGGAAGCAATTGTCAGTGCTCCACCTAGTGGGAAAACAAAGGATTGCATAGCATAAACTCAAAGTTAAAAAAAAAATCACCTGACCAGTCATTCCTAGATTAGTAATGCTAACAAAATTATAGCTTTTTTTGGCATCTGAACAAAGAACAAGCCTAATCTTCACCTGATTCTCTCCAGTGGTCCGTTGAGAACTTAGGATCCCTGGGCATGATCCTGCCAATTAAAGTTAGAATCAGAAATACCCACATCAATACTGCTGCTTACGCATTTTATAATTATAAATTTTTTTAAATACACCAAAAGTTAAAAATTAGTACATGAGCAGATTCTAAATCATCTTACGTATCACTTGTATGTAACAATGTATAGTCAATTAGAATGCTGCAAAAACAATGACCATAAAGACTCAACATGTCATCACAGTTTCTACAATAAATCCTTAGCATCAACTGTTACTGTTACTCCAGGTTGTTATGTTGGGATTAGATTACAAAAAAAAAAGCACCAAATGTGACAGCCTTCACTGCGGCTTAATTATCATCATCATCACAGTCTGATGTCAGCTCCACAGTGAACCAGCAAAACTGGCAGCACCTGGAAGTGACTCAATCAGGCATGTGTGGTGAGTGGATCCTGTATCACAACAGTACAGGAACAGTTCTAAAGCAAACAACCTCATCAGACTGAGGTGTCAGCACCGCAGGTTTCTCACAGCACTGTGGAGCAGCTCACAAGTTACACACAGGTTCCCAGTAATGACTCTGGGAAAATGTCAGTCAAAGTCAAAAGTCACCGCTTCAGAAAAACAAAAAAAAAGTCAGAAATTGAGTTTCTGCTGTTATTGACGATATAGTATATGTATATATAATAACAATAATATACTTTTTCCTGATATCAGTTGGCCGATATATCGGCAATCCCTAATATATACACTGTACGTACTATTAAAGGTTATAGATGCACCCACATATATATGTATACAGTATGCATGTTTATCTAAATAAAAACATGACTATATGGACCTGTGTATTATTTAAATGGGTATATAAGTATTGAATACCACACATAAAGTACAGTACATGTACACACGACACTAGGCTCACACTCCTGTGTCCAGTGTTAACTATTCTGCTGTACTGCAGACTATTTCAATTTGAAGAGAATTTTCCTCAAGGTACTAACATAGAAGTGAAGAGAATATGTGTGTGTGTTCCAAACACTTACTTCCTCCCCACAGCCACCAAACGCACGCAGACACACAATTAAATAATGAATAGTGAGCGAGGCAGCTGTCCCAGAACATTCTTCTGTGTAATCACATTGTTTGTTCTTTCAGGACAGACTAAGTCACTCTTTGCCACACACCAATAAAGTAGAATACTTCTGTGGAGCTGCCAGGACCAATGAAGAACAGGAGGTTCAGAATTAAAACTATCCAATTAAAATGGCTCTGTGAGGAACTGTGGGTACTGTCAGACTGCCTGAGTCGTGAGGATCGCATAAAAATAGAAGAAAAACATCCAGGGAGCATGAGAGTCTCATGTGATCTGTATGAATGTGGCCTCTGCTTTAATATAGAAGGTGATGTGGTTATGTAATCAGTGTGACAGAGAAACAGCCAGATGAAGATAAAGCACACAGGACTACAGGAGCCAGTACACAGTATGGAAGTACTATGTTCCACACAGTTAAAAATCCAATACTTTGTCATGTATTATTTAAATATGTTTCTGTACCACTGCACATACTGGAGCCTGTGTAGATTCAGAGTGAAGGCAGAGCAGGATGACACTGGTACTGTGGTCACTTTTTCTCTCCGACCTGTTTACTGACAGTCACAGTGATGAGCTGGGAGCACAAGAGACCCCTGTTCTGTTCATAGGATCCACTTCATGCTGATGTGACCTTGGACAACAGAGTGAACTGCAAACTGCGACTGTTGGTTCTGCAGAGTTACAGAGACCAGGGACATCTGTATATATGAACGAAGGACAGGGGGTTAGTAAGAACTAGTAGTGGTCAATCTGAATGACTCTGTACTGCTGCTGTGACTCCCCTCCACTGCTGTGACTCCCCTCCACTGCAGTGACTCATCTCCACTGCTGTGACTCCCCTCCACTGCTGTGACTCCCCTCCACTGCTGTGACTCCTCTGCACTCATAAAATAGAATTAAATAACTCTACAAGTTGGAAGAACATTAGAAGTGTGAAAAAACAAGAGTTAGTCAGTGATGGAAGATGATTTCTATGTCGTCTCTTCTTCAACTCATCTACTCTCCCACTCATGTTAGATTCACTTCCTCCACTCTGATTCAGGTGTCAAAACATGGAAACATACCCTGTTGTAGGACCTTGAGATTCTACATGAGAGAACCACATGAGAGAACCACAGAGGACCAAGGTGTTTTGATCCAGTCCAGAAAGGTCTGACTGAGGAGCCGGATTTTACTTCTTTACTGCTAGAAATTCAGTAATCCATTTGTTCATTTTCCACTGTGTAATCCTCTACAGGGTGGAGTTAGAGCCAATCCCAGCAGTGAACCAAAAAAAAAGGTGGAGTAGCCAACCACAGGGTGGTCTCTCAGTAACGTCTATGTTGGACACAGGTGAAAATGAAGAACTGAAATCAACCAAAGATCTAGAGACACTGATCTAAAAATAGACTGACGGCCTACAGGGGTGTCAGACAATCACACTAATGAGTCTCTGCTCATCACATGGAGATGTCAACATCACAGCACCAGCTGCTCTCCTCTGAAACACATTAAACGTCACATGTTAGTGTCGACTGCCCTCTAGTGGCTTAAGATGCAAACAACTCCAAATTCTCAAAGGTAAAAGGAGTTCATATTCAGCAGAAGTGTAGCAGAGCAGGTCGGATTATTTTTAAGGTTTTGGGCTCAAGTAGCTTTTTGTGTTAGGATTGCATTGGGTGTAGAAACTTGGTCCAATCACTACGTGGACTACAGCTGATAAGGAAATAAGCATATTATTCAAACGATGAGTTTGAGACTAATTTGCAATATTTTTGCTTCACATTCGACTACTGACGTGATGGTTATGTTTTCTTAGGAGTAAAAATTTATAGACCCGAGTTTTCTCCCTCGTTTTATGAGCCGCAGCAGGAACAGACCGTGTGCTTTCCTCAGGCCAAGACCTGGTCCAGGAAGTTTGACAGTAATTAGTCCGGTTGACACTAATCACCAGCACACACTGGTGAGAGCAGGAGTCGTTCTCCAGACTGAGGGCTTTTAAAGGTAAGTGACAGCTGGAGCTGAATGTTAGCTGTGGTTTAAAAGCAGGGATGAAGGAGTTTCACAGATAAAGTCTTTGCAGAAGGTTGCTTTTGTGCAAAAAAATTAATCATCATTATCATTAGCAGCAGTTAATGGTGCAGCTTTGTGAACAGAGGAGAGTCAGTTGAAATATCTGCCTTAGCTGTAAGGAATTGAGCAAGCCTCAACCCCAACCCCGCAAAAATGAACTCTACTCCCTTGAATGAGGATTTTGGTTGTCTGTTTATGATGATGAAAGAAAATTGTGTATATATATGTATGTATGTCTGCATCAACATGCATCATTTATTCTCATTCACTGAACAAATAAACTAAAGTTTTTTTTAAAAGTAAAGGTTTGCTGTGAACCTAACTCCAGATAATAAAAACTGAATTTTTTAAACTTCAACTTTGCAAAACTTTTGTGCCAGTTTGCTGCTCTGACCAAAAGTCTGGAGATGTGAGGATCAGAGAGTGTGTGAAGCTGCTGCATCTAATGAACCATGGTGAACTTACTCCTTTGAGATGGAACTTGTCAGGGATAAAAACTGCACCAAGGCAGATGATGGGGCTCATTATCTGATCGGCCATTATTTCACTTCTGAATCCTAACTATAAAGTTAGCTCTGTAAAAAGTTATTGTAAAATCACTCAGTAATTCTCAGGTGTAGTTAAAACAGTTTTTGTACATTCTATTTAGTTTTTTCATTTATTATGTGAATTTAGATAAAGATAGATGAAGTTCTTCATTCAGCTTTAACCCATATGTCAACTTTTCCATCTCTTGTATGTATTCAATTGTTGTTAGCCCTTGTTTATAACTTGTTTATAACTTTAGAAGTGAGCCAATTCTTAGTAACGGCCTTCCTTCCTGCTACCAGGAGGATCCTGGTCAAATATTGATCTCTGGCATTATTCCCTTCAAGTGTCCCAGGTGGAGGACTACTAAAGAGTTGGGAATCCCATATCTCAGTATCTGGAGGTGCGCAGCCCCACAAAATGTGTGTGTGTGATCTGGGTCAATATGATTCCAGTCTCCAGCAAGGTTGTTGGGTATTTGTCTGTTTTCTGTTTGTTCTTTTATCTTAGGAGTGATTAAGAACCGAATCAGATTTTCCAGCCAAATTCTCTCCATCTCAATGACTGTGATCATGTCATCTATCATATCATAACATAAAGCATCAATATTTCTTTTTGACTGCATTAAGCATTTATATAAAACTGAGACCGTTTTTCAGATGGTACTGCTGTACGATTCTTTAAATACCTTTATGAGAAGGTCTATTTTACCATAGGGGTCCCTCATTTGTTGGTAAAAAAAAGTCCTGATTTATTATGTGTATGTATAACTTCTTCAAAACGTTTCATTTTGTAGTTTTTAATAATTGTACAAATAGCTGTAATAATTAAACACACAAAAAGAAAATTCCATTTATCTAAAGTTTTATTCAAAGGTAAACTAAATAATATGAGGCTTATTAAAGGAACCTTTATTTTAGAAACGAGCTAATCTAAGTTTTTGTTACAAAAAACGTTAAAAATAATGTAATGATATAGTTAGGCCAGTAGGGGGAAGTCAGGTTACAATTGTTGGAGTTCCGTCTGAAGCTTAACTGCAGTAAAACTTTCACATTGGCCTTGTGAGAACAATTTCTTTGTACATAAATAACGTCAAGAATGATTTTAATTCACACAGAGAAGTGTTGTACCTTGATTTGGACTAATTATCAGATCATGAATTACCATTTTATACAGTGTAAATACGCTTAAATACTCACATCATTGTTATGAAGAGCAGTTCTCTTATCGTCCATTCTTGTTGACACCGACAGCAGGATGCTAATAAACTACGTCACAGAGGCGCCAAAAGGTTCGTTTTTCCGAGTCTTCCCGAGTCCCGTCTGCACATGCGTATTATCTAAGCTTGTCCTGCGTTGCCAAACCTCGTGTCGTACCGACAGCTTAAACATTTGTACGTATCCAACACGACATCCCGACAAATTGCTTCAATAAAACACTATCACAGAATATGTTTTTAAAATCATAGGTTGTGGTATTTTAAGAGAAAACCAGTTACAATTAATTAACATCTTTCAAAGCATTTTAATGAATGGTTATTGGGCTCTAGGGTCGATACAGTTCCCTTATAGATCAATTTATTTTTACTATTTTATTTATTATTTATGTATTATAAATATATATATACACAACTGTAATAGATTATGCAAATACAATCCTGACTATACTGATGATGGATGTTAATTGGACTATTAATAAACAAATGAGCTTCTATAAAACTGTTTTGGGTTTTTTGTCACAGATGTGCATCCATATGTCTTGAACAGGTAAAACTTTATTCCATTGTTCAGACGGATCTGGGCAGAACATGTAAACATTCAGTGTAAGACCCGTGACAATGAAGGTGGGGAGCATTCCATTCTTATAAATATAGAGCTTTAATTTATTAGTCAGCCACAACAATGGAGAGAGAAGATTTACACAAGTCATTACAATAACATCACCTCTGTGCATTTAGGGTTTTTTTTCTATTATTTTTTTTATAAAGTCTGGCATTGAAAAAAAAAACACTTAAAGTCAGAAGACATATTTTTTTAAAATACCAACATTTTACAACATTTTATTAATTTGATTTTGTTTGCACAGTAAAACCCTTTGTTCCTCTGACAAAAAACAACAACCAGGAGATTTTAGTAGTTTTGGAGACGTGGTCTATATTGAAGATGCGCTCTATAAAAAACGTTCACATTTTCCTGTAATATTTTAGGATTGGATGCAAACAATGCACACAGTATTAAAGCCAATTAAAATAATGCATAAATGCACTATGCATTAATTCCCAACTTTATAGAAACACATGCTCCAAAACTGCATTCATTTGTTTTGGTAAACACAGTTATTTTAATGGAAGAGTGAACCAGAAAGTAAGAATTAATTTCAATCTTAAACGCACTTTTATTCCTGATTTCACTCCAATTATGAATCGTGTCACTGAATATAAATGAAATGCTACTTTTTGAATTTCAAAACTTTTATGGGTCTAATAAAAACATACAAGTCTGATAAAATGCTTATTTTATGTTCATAGGAAACTCCATCTTACTCTACAGGAGTGTGTTTAAAGTGTTTGGGTTTAAAACATTTTTTTCTTCTTTTTGTTCTGTACTGAAAACTTCCCTTGGTCTAAACTGTACAACTGCAGAAACAGAGAACAGAAAAATGAACAATAACAGAAACAACCACACAGTTCTTTATCAGGATAACAGTACAAGTACAGGTTCATGCACACAACGAAAGCCAGCTTCCCCATTATTTTGGTTAGTGTCACAATGTTACAACGTTCTGTTGTGTATTTTTTTTTTTCTTTACATATGAATGTTTAATGGTAGATGCGTTTGTGTGCTTGTAGATGACGGCTGCCTCAGCTGAACCCCAGGTTCCTCTCACTACATTTTCTTTTCGTAAATAAAGTCTAACATTCACGAGTGTCTGCTGCATTTGGCCCCAGACAGTGTCCCTTAAAAAAAGAATAATGCCCTCTGTGCAAAACCTTGACCTTTTATTGCACATTACTGTTTAAAGAATCTTTGCATTTAAAACAAAAATATCATGATTCAATTTTAAACAGAACTCAGCTGCTGTTTGCTTAATGGGATTTAAACTGTGGTCTATCAAATGTTAAATCTCTCTTATTAAAAGAAGCATCTTTGTTGAGAAAGTCCCTGCACCAGTTAACATCTGAACAAACCTCTGAACAAGAAGAACAAAAGTCCACGCACCAGTTAAAAATGACATTAAAGGGCCCAATTCAGACACACTCCCAGTCCCCATGGAGAAAGTACCAGTTCCTCAATATAACTGGGACCATGTGTTTCTGGTCCCTCTGCGATAAAATAGTCTCAGCAGCCACGAGGAGACTACATTTCTGACATTCCTCATGTGTCCAGTAATAAAAGCGTTCTGGAATTGAGTCAAAGCAAGCAATAAAGAAAAAACAAGATCCCGTGAATTTGTTTCCCTGTCACACCGCGCCTCCCAGCCACTGCTGGAGACGCCGTCCGTGCCCAACAACAAAGGTCCTATGACGCTGACAGTAAGAGGTTTCTGTGATGACAGTAACAGCAACAATAAAATTAACAACATCAATAATAACAATATTTGCCCCAAAGGTACCTATACACATAGAGCAGGTTTCTTTTTTTCTCTGTAAGTACAAAGAAATCCACAGAATGGTACTATATACAACCTACAATAAATACTGTGTCTGATACTGTAGCTCGCTGTTGGAGAGGATGTATGCAGGCGGTGGGTTTTTCTCAGTTCACCTTTTTTTTTTTACCAGGTCGGTTGATGATTTTTCACATAACTTTTCTCACTAAGTCTCTCCCAGTTTTTACATGGTGGGATGATAAGGTGTGTGTGTGTGTGTGTGGGGTTGGGAGTTGACTCTGATGTTTTCAGGACCCAAAGCCGGGCTCCTCATGTCTCTACCTCCAGCACCTCCTCCTCCTCCTGCTCCTCATTCTCCTCCCCGTCACCATGGTGCCGGCGATTGCGGGGCTTCTTGTGTTCCTTGAGCTCCTTCAGGTCTTTGGCCTTGAGGGCTCCCAGCAGGGGGTCTCCAAACTGCCAGTAGTCCTGGCAGTACTGATTGATCAGGCTCATCTCCGGCTGGCTCAGGATGGTCAGCAGGTCCTTGTACTGCTCTGAACTGGGGGTCCACTGGGTGCTGCCAGAGTGGGCCGAATGGGGGGGCACCAGGCCTCCTCCTCCGCCCTCCACCAGCACGCTGTTGACCGCCCTGCTTGACAGCACCACCAGCTGCAGCTTCACCAGGGTGTGTTTGAAGTTCTTCTCCGTGGCTGTGCACTGGTACATGCCAGAGTCAGACGGTTGGAGAGACCTCAGGAGGAGACCCTGTTCTGTCTTCAGTACTCGACCATCAGAACGCATCTGAGGAGACAGGACAAAAAAAAAAAAAAAAGAAACATTTTACTACAGGTTAAAAATGTTGAATAAAATATACATTTACACATTTATCCAAAGCGACTCCCAGAGGAGGATTAACAATATCAAGCATGTGGTTCCTCTGGGAATCAAACCCAAAACTACCTGCTGAGGCAGGCATGCTAACTGCTACACTACGGAACCACAGTATATTTTTAATCTGACCAAACAAACCGGACCAGATGACGTGACGATATATGGATAAATATATTGTTGATTCTTTATCTCATCAAACAATAGGATGCTAATCGATCGTACTTGTTGAAGTTAAGGCTTGACTTTGCATTTGAACAAACATTTGAAGGACAGGCCGTGAACAGAGAACCTGTGTGTGGTGCCTCACCTCCTTCCTCCGGTCACTGTTGTCTCTCTGCAGATGCCACTTGATGACAGCGTGAGGAGAACGAGCCTGACACTCCAGGAAGGTGCTGCTCCCCTCCACCCCATACTGCACCATCTCCAGAGTGTTCTTATTGGCTGCAGGGCAGAGATGGAATAGAGAAAGAGGGGTTTCCATGGTAACCAAAACCAAGAAATTCTCAGTTGTGGCGAAATCTCATTTAAGTTCTGTTTTAAAAAGGCAGTGGCAAAAAGTTACAGTTCATCTGTGGATGTGCATCATATAAACAGGAAGTGTGGAGTGACTAATGAACTCATAAACAACAAACACTTAGAGATGGTGAGTCTTACTGTTGGAGTTGAAGCCTCGACACTGGCGGATGGGATTCCCGTACCTGACGTCCTGCCTCCGGCTTCGTCTAAAGGGGTCGGACCAGTGTAGCCGAATAAGGAGAGAAAAGATCATAAAGTAACCGCAAAACCATTCAACAACATTGCAACAACACAAGGCAGACAAATCATTTCAAAACATTCAGCTGTGTTTATGTATTCTCATGTTTTCATTTCTAAAAGTCAAGTCATCAAGTTTTTAAAAAACACCAAAAAATCCCATGCGAAGAGCCACTCAGCATTCAGGCAGTCAGACGAGCATCAACTAGTTAGTGGTGGTTAGTGAAGGTCATGCTGACGCTAATGCTAAGCTCACCTCTTCTGCGATGATGAGTAACGGGAGCAGGACTTTCCGTCCCAGGCACAGTAAGGATCTCTGGCCAAGCAGCAGTCGGCGCAGGCCTCGCCGTACGCATCGCAGCGGTGCAGAGCCAGCTGCGTCAGGCCGACCGCTGACGAAACGTAGAGCTGTTGCTGTTGGCGGTAAGTGAATACAGCAGTCAGTTTTATCATCAGACACTGATGAGGATCTGTCTCTCGTCTGTGTTGAAGCTGCAGCACGCTGTGAAACTGACTGAGCTCATCTCTATCAGGTTACCACCAGGACTTTATGATCAGACCAACACTCTGTCTGTGGACTGATGTCATTCACAGGAGGAAAGGCCAAGTATTTCAATCACACTGAAAGAAAACCCTGAACGTCTCCATGCATCTGTCTCCATTGTCCCATTATCATACAATCAGTGTGAGAACGATGATGTCAGAGCGGAGGAGAACAGCTGTGGGACAGAAGCTGCCGACCTTTCACAACTATTTTCCCTCATTAAATATCATGTCTTTTCTCTTGAGGACACACACATGCTTACCCTTTTGGACGAGATCTTCATTGTTGTCACAGGAGTTGGGACCTTTGGAGAAGATGATGGAGAAGATTAAACATGTATTAGATAAGACAAACCAAGAACCAAGTGAGAGGAAAGACAAACCTCACCTTGAAAACCTCGACTTCCTCCAGCACCAGCTCTTCGGTCTGCAGGTCATCTCTGGGTAAAACGATGACCTTCTGAACCGTACCTCTGTCTGTGGACCACAACACACACACACACACGAGTCAAATCCACACCTGTAACCTCTCACCTGCACATCTGTCAGCAGCCCTGAGGATTTGTCATGTCATTCTCTCAGCAGCCTCTAACAGTGGGATAATCCTCAGCTCAACAGCGTCTGCTCTTCTCTTCACCTCCGCCTGTGCTTCAACCTTTTCAATGAAACAAACGCGTCCTGTCACGGACAGGTTAATTATGGCCTGGCACCTATTCATTAGGATGATAAAAGACGTTGTCCTGCTCTGAAGACTGGCATGTTCCCAAAACAGGACACTGGAGATTTATTGTGACTTCAGCATTCAGCCTGCACACAGCGGAATGTTGTTTCTGACACACACACGCATACACACTCACGAAGACCTTCCCTTAATACACAGAGGAACAAAGAGGATGTTAAGAGGCCTCGCATGCGCTGTTCCCTGGATGTAACTGTCACGCTGGGTTCTTAGCTCAACGACATGCAAACATAATCTCTCTCACAGCAACGGACAAAATTAAGGTGATGGATCTACAGGCCACCTCCCTGTTGTTCTCTCTCTGCTGCTGATCCAGCCCTGACCTCCAGGTGCAAATAACAGGAGGCTGGATTGACATGATCGACACAAGAGAGCTTTTCATTGGTGAAAGTCACACTGGTTCAGGGAAGAGGAGATTGTAGCTCTTTGTTACAGATAAATGAAGAGTTTGTACTTCCTCCAACTGTAACTAAGGTTGAATTCATCACTTTCATAGACGTCACTCACCAGTTCCCAGGAAGAGAACTTCGTAGTTCCCATCCGCAGCAGTCACCTGGTCCACAGTGATGGTGGTGAATTCATAGTCCACGTTGGTCCTGACCACCAGGGGGCGCTTGTGGACTGGATACACAGCATTGTACATGGCTGGGTGGTTTCTCATGAAGTTAATCACCTCATCTGGGTAGTCCTTGGTGGACTTCATGTTGGGGGTGAAGGTCCCTCCAGGACACTTGGACAAGGAGACAAGGATGTTTACACAATGACAATGTTTTGTTGATTCTTGAAGTCATTTCTGATTCTGACTCTATGATTTGCGCGCTGCCTTGATCTCCTCCATTTGGTTTGTATTTAGAGCCTAAAACAGAAAGAAATCCCATATCCTGTGGGATTTCATGTGTGGACTCAGCCTGAGCCGAGACTCACCGTGCCAGGCCGAGGGTAGGGGATCTTCCCAGTGTAGGCCACCCATTGATAGTTGGGACCCTCCTTGTGGGCGAAGGGTCCGTTGAAGACCATACGTATGTCAGCCATGGAGTAGACACACACTGCTGAGCCTTTGAAGACAGAGCTGAGAAGTGATGGAAACAGTTAGACTACAAACTGAGCCTCGTCACACACACACGTATTCATAAGTACACACAAACCCAGGACACGTCCTCAGTCCACACAGTTACAGTGAGACTCACCCTGACACGGAGAAGACTCCGTATATCACCGGGTTTTTTGTGTCCTGTGTTGGCTGAATGTAAACATCGCCTGTCGGAGGACACAGAGAGACATCACATCAGTGTCAAAGAGCAGGTGAACGAAATTCAGCCCCAACACAAAAGTCTCCACTAATATTGACTCAGCCACATGACTGGAACACCAAGACGTAGGCTTAACCTTTATTACGGTGAGAACACATGGAGTCCATTACTGGACTTAGACGGAGAGATAAGTGGGATACTGGGTTATATCCTGATGTTCCTGTGAAAATCCAGGGTTCTGGCACAAGAACCAAGGTCAGGGATTACCGCCAGGGACTGTGGCTTCATGGTTAGAAGAATGGGACAAAGCCATATCACAGGGTGGGGCTCCAAAGGACACTGGAGATGGTCCATTGGTGACAGATGTTTGACTGTAGTGACAGAGTTCAGACTGGACTTTTTTTATTGTCCTTAAAAGGTTTATAAAAACGTTTTTTAAGATAAATGTTCATCTCAAAATACTACCATGTTGGTAATCCTGGATTCACAGGCTCTTGTTTAAGTGATGCTGGTTTATCTATATTTTGATTGGAGTTGGGGTAAAAATCGAGATAAGACATATATGCTGAGATTTCAATCTGTGGAAATTAATTTTCAGGTTGAAACTAAATAACTAAGTACTAAACCAAATTTTCTTAGAAAAACAAAAAGTTCTTCACCAAAAAAAACAAGTACTAAACCAAATTTTCTTAGAAAAACAAAAAGTTCTTCACCTTCTCTCATTCACGTACTGACGGAAACGGTGGGAGTAAAACCACAGAAACTGAAGGGAATGATGAGGATCTCAGGATGGATGAGGGGGCCGGGGGCCAGGGGCCGGGGGGGC